AAAATGGCGACAAAAATAGGCCCTCCGCCTTGAAACATGGAAACTCCGGTCCGGATACATTAAAGGAAGTCTTACATCTGCTTCCAGTTACGCAATCAAGTTACACTGCGAAGGGTCTTCGCCAGCACATCGGAGGGCAGGGAAGACGACATAAGCGCATCTCGCTGCCATGTTATGAACCTGGCGAAGGTGAGCCGCTTGTCCTGGCAACACTGCAAAGGCAGCTAGCCACTAAACGCCAGAACGGAATGCAGCACCACAAAGCACCACCTCAGGATCCGACACCTTCGGAGCCAATCATCGTGAGGTAGCAATGGTGCAAGTCACCCTTGATCATGGCAGGGTCTGTATCGCCTTCCAATGATGGATTGAGGCGAAGAGCATTCTGTAGAACTCCATGAGTTTCCATAAACTCTTCCCAGTTGATTATGCCGTCACGATCTTGGTCGTACGCCTCAGCTCTGTACCATACACATGATTCGCATATATCTATGTAGCACGATTCACGATATCAAGATATCAGTATATCGATCTATCTCTCTAGATCTCATAGTCATGGCTAAGTCCTTGCTTTGGTGTATCCGCTCATGTAAACGCATGCATGCACACGGAGGCTAAGTCTAACATAGTCCCAGACAGCTTCAATCTGCGGTGTCCCGGGTTCAAGTTCAAGCCGTCGACCTCTACATTGAATTTAAGTACCACTAGTGTGTATCCATCTATCTACGAATCTGTTTAGCCACCTGTCTGGATACCCCCGACCTGGGAGCCAGACCCAGAACAGAGGCTCCAAATGAGACTTCAAGTCAAAGAAGGTCAACTCCCAAGTCGAACTCACCGTCAGCGGAGTGCTGGGCTTCAAGATCCACTGGATGAGATCCTGGTGAAGGGTTACGGTTAAGGCTTAAGGCCTCCCTGCCTCAACCCTCAACCCTCTAGGAACCCCTACACTAGTTTCACATCATGTTCGTGTGCGGAGACTCTGTAGCCTTTTTACTAGGACTCGACTAGAACTCCTCGTACTCGATATCCCCATCCGCACGCTTGGCAAAGGTGGACCACATGTGGTCCAGGTCTTCTCGGCTCACGGCCTCCACCGCCGGCAGGTTGCTGCCTGCAGCTGAGCTGATTTGAGCCGATTTTGGAATACAAGCGGTTACTCGTTGAAAGCTTGTTGTGGGGTGCGTTCTTGTCTCGCTCTGGAGGGGGTCAGCCAGGGGGCGGAGTAGCCACTCAAACTGCCTCTGGCTGACCGTCCCGGTGCGGTCCTGGGCAAGGAGAACCGCGAAAAGCAGGCACCCGCGCACCAAAACGAGTAGATAGTATTCAGAATAGCCTCTCCTTGTCAAGGTGGCGCAGAAGGACCCGGATCTTCTGCAAGACAGCATCTGAGGCCTCGCCGCCATCTCTTCCCATGGCGCTAGTTGGGGCTCTGCCCGTGGCTCAAACGGAGCTACTCGCAGAGTTTCCATTCTCGGGAGCTCTTCCCAAGCTCGAGCCAGACAACGGCTGCCTGCAAACCATACCATGAGATGCCGCTTAGTGGACTTAGACGACTTGCAATCTGCGCATTCGGCCTTTGAAGATGTGCCTCAGCCCATGACGAAAAGAGACTCCTTGAAAGGCTTCAGCAACTCACAGAAAAGCTCCCTGCACGGCGTCGCCATCGAAACCCAACTCCCTTGCAGGACGCATCTCCTCTCGCACGCTTAAACAGAGGGGTCTCTGAGCGCAGCGCCGGCAGCCCCTCACGAACTCGGGAAGCGTCAAGGCCTCTCCGGACGGCACACTTCCGGGCAGAACAACATCGGGGTCTGCGGCCCCGCCTGGCGATTGCTGGGATCCAGGAGGGCCTCGGAGACGCTCGCGAAGACCCGCCAGCGAAGACCAACAGCGGAGCCTCTGAGGCCGGCGGCCCAGGCTCTGGAGAGGTCGAAGCCCGTCCGGATCCAAAGCACCTCTCTCTGCCAGAAACCTCGACTTTAATTCCCCTCGCACTCCGGTGCCTGCTCGAAGAGCTCCAGATTCGAGGCTTCTTCGTGGTCCAGCCTCCGAGAAGCGCCGACCGCTCCGCCTTTTTCTCCGCTTTTTCTCCGAGGCGGCGGCTCCCAGAACTTCATCCCGGCTCCTCTCCGCTCCGGGCACGGCTCTTGCACGGCTCCCACTCCCACTCTCGGAGCCGAGTCGACTCTTCGCTCTTTTTGTGCGCTCTTTCAGGCGGCCCCGGCTCCAGGTCCGGCGGCCTCCGCTCTCTCGCAGCCCCGGCGCGCGCGCTTGGCCGCGGGCCGCGGCTCATCGGGGAGCTCGCAGAGGGAGCCGAAGGTGTCCGTGATCAGCGAGAGCAAACAGACGATTCGTTTGTTCACCGCCTTTCCATGAGGGCATGAGCTCTGCAGCCGCAACGGCGCTGCCAGACGCCCCCAACTCACGCCTCGTCTGCAATGTCCCGCATGATGGGGAAGGCCAACATGGAGAAGATGAGACCCCGAGCAGCAATGGCCTCAAGCAGCATGGCATTGACATCTATCCCAGCATCTTGGACATTCGGAATGACATGCACAAGACGCCTTTAGCCGAGACGTGTCTTCATCAATCGGCTGCAGGACCGCTTTCTGCGTCTGCCGCAGGGCATCTTTGAAACTCAGCTGCGTCAGTTGGTCACCCATCCTTGGCTTCACAACGACCCGCGACACAGGCGAGATGTGGGCCGTCTACGAACAGGAACAGAACAGAGCAAGAGAGATGACTGGCATGGCTGGCTCGCCAGCTGAGCTGCACCCCGACCAGGCTACCAGAGTACTCGCTGTCCTCCGACAGACAAACCCGCAGTGCGTGGGATTCGACTCGCGTGAGCACGGTAGACTCCCTTCGTCCTCCGGGAGTCGAACGTAGGTCATCATCACTTTGCCCACCGTCTCGTCCCATGTGACCTCTTCCGAAAGCAAAGTGCTCGCAACGATGCTCTTTTTTGGCACGCAAGGCTCTGAGCGTGGGTTGTTTAGGGTTGGCGAAGCATTTCCGATGCGTAACCTGCACTTCAAGATCTGAAAGCTCGCGAGTTCGAAGGGCAGCCGAGGCACCAAGTCCCGCAGCCGCCGGGCCAAGACATCCCCGAAACCGGGGGACTGAAACCGGTCTGCGATCACCAGCACCTGAGCATGGGTGGACGAGAAGAAGCAACAAGCTGGGACGCGGCTTTTCTCCAAGGCCTCCAGAATGTGGTCTAGGTTCAAGCCTTCCTCAAGGTCGCCTCGGGAGCGTACTTCATGAATGCACGATCAGTGCAGGCCCAACGGGAAGGATATAGGGGATCTCTGAGGAACGACAAGAGAGCCGGCAACAGAGAGAAAGCGAGGAGGGTGCTTTGCCACGGTTTGCTGGTTTCCCGGCCAGGATGCCGGTGTAGAGGAGGTGGAGGTATTGCTTGAAGGTCTCCACGTCCACGTCCACGAGCCGCACTTTCGCCGTCTGGCCCTCCTGAAATGCTTTGTGCCGGAACATCGCCGCCAGGACGGGGCTTCGGGCTGCCAGCACGGACTGGTGGGCCGCCAGAGTGCAGCTTGCATCCTCTGGGCCCACGGCGATCCTCAGCGACGGAGACAAGGGGTGAACATGGCCCTTTGTAGGCCCGCTTTCGAGGGCCCATGGAGCCAGGGCCCGTGCTCCAGGTCCGTGTGTTCCTGACGCTGGGCCTTGCCCGAGCAGAGCGAGCAGAGCGAGCAGAGCCAAGAGCCCCCACCCGCTGCGCCTGATCCAGCAGTAGCCGGCCCAGCGAGGCCGTCATTGCATGTCGGCGTGAGGCGTGTCTCGTGTCTCGTCGTCGCTGTTGTGCATTTCTTCTAGTTTCTGGCATTTCTTATAGGGGTCTTCCTAGAGTTGAAAGGGGTACAGCCCGGGTACTCAAGGGCCACCAAGAGCTGCGGCAGCTGCGGCAAGCCTGATGTGCTTCTTGCTGTTGACCCTCTTTCGAAGCCACGGTTCTCCTCCGCTCACGCGGCAGCTTTGCCAGATTTGCTCCGCCGAACACCTCTCCAAGCGGTTCGCGCGAAGCTGCTCCGTCACCAGTGCCCCCCCCCCCCTCACCCGAAGAAGCGGCAGGCGCGTGCGAACTCCGCCTGGCTGACCCAGCCTCCGCACAGAAACCCTCTTTGGCCTTGGCCTTGGCGCTGCCTTGCGAATCCTTGCGACT